AGTGCTACTTCTCACATTACACAATCAAGAAATCCATTTTAAGTGCTCATATGTTTTCATTGTCCTTTAAGAAAGGACATGTGAATCCTGAAATAATAATACAGTGGTGCCTTGCTTAATGATTGCCCCGCATTATGACGAAATTGCTGTATGACAATCTTTTTGCGATCGCAATTGCGATCGCAAAAAGATTGTCATACAGCAATTTCGTCATAATGCGGGGCAATCATTAAGCAAGGCACCACTGTATTATTATTTCAGGATTCACATGTCCTTTCTTAAAGGACAATGAAAACATATGAGCACTTAAAATGGATTTCTTGATTGTGTAATGTGAGAAGTAGCACTACCTGATCAGAAACTCTTAAAGCACATTTCAAACTGCATATATAAGATTATAAAGTACTTTGGAGTTATTTACTTGCTGCAGGAGCAACGTTATTTTTGTCTATAAAATACATATGTGTGTGATGTGTTTTTGCAAACACCATATTGGCTGTCCCACACATCCTTCATTGCTGATCCCCCTCTACTTCCTTTATTATTTGTTTTCCTTAATGAGTCCATCCAACACCATCCAAGCTACTAGGATCCATTTTCTTATTTTTCTTTCGTTACATATTTCTCTGCCTGGAGTCATAGCAAGGTACTGTCCTAAAACTCTCAGGGAATACATCCCATTGTTCAGTGGGTAGATATTTCTAAAAGTACAGTGAACCACTGCTGCTCAGGCTGTTGAACTTAGATCTTAAAAGCACAATAACTTATGAGCTAGTCCATGCCATTTCTTGAAAAATGTAATTGAAGAAGAATTCATCTAGTGTACCTAATGTGTTAGAGGATGGAATATATATACTTTGAAAGAATAAAATTCCAGGTTGCTGCTAGATAGCTCTGTAGGGAGAAGAATCCAGGGGTGAATATGGCAACCCTTAATGTTGTACGGGAAACTGTATAGTTAGTTCTGCACACTCGCCTTGGATTATTTCAGTGTTTGCCCAGAAACATTGATTACAGCGCACTGTCAAAGGCCTCTACACCAATTTTCAAAAGTGTCATGCTCTGCTGGAAAGGTATGCGGAGACTATCTCTTGGTTTAAATGATGATCTTGCAGCCACATTGTTTAAACATTTTAAACTGCTTCTATTGAATGGTTTCCCTCATAGGTTTGATTCATTTTGATTCTGCTGACAAAGTTCCCATTAAGGAGCACTCTTTTCATAATTTGTCAAAAATATATAGCAAAGATGAAGCAGGATGAAGCTAATTTGTAATCTGAGAGCACTAACCTAGTTATGCTGACATGCTTCATGATGTACGCCTTCAGCTAGCCAGAGGTTTGAAAGTTATGAAGCACAAAAAAAAAGCTCAGTTAAATGCAATTTCCTTTTGTAAACAACGCAATTTACAAGTGTGGTCAAAGGCCAGGGCCAAGGTGTTATTTAAAAAAAAGTAGTAGTAGTAATAATTAAACATTAACGAATACATGAGATGCCCTGCTTTGTCCAAACCCTGGATGGAAATGCAGCTGGGGACAACAGGTTTCTGATGGACTGAGTGACGGAGTGTGATATTGAATTCTTCCATAATATTACAGGCTACTATATTATTTCCCTGAAAGGACTTTGATTCCAGTAACAACATAATTATAGCATTATGCAGCCTTGTCTTCTGTAGCCTTTTTTTTAACTGGGCCAGAACTATTCTATTGTCCATCCTTTTTTTTTCTCCTGTAACTTTTCCTCTTGCTGCTGCATACATTATAGCATGTATTCTTGCAATACTCATTGAAATATGCATTATGAGAACAATGGGACTTAAGATAGGTTTGTCTGGTTTGCTCCACCTTGTGAGTAGCCCTTTTTGCTTTTTGTGTGTCCTCACCTCCAATTTTAAGTTTTTCTGCATAAAGTAGGATCCTGAGTGGTCTTTAGCCCCCACCGAACCATCTATCCCAGTGCAATCAAGATAGCCCTGTTAGTAGACATGCACCCTTGTCTCTAATTTTTATTGAACAAAAGACCTATTTTACAAGGAGGCATTGGACTAAATCCATCTGTCAGTTGCAGCTGGGGTAGGCCCATAAAATCAATGGGTTACAGACAAATATTGACTTTCGTCAATTGATTCTATGGGTCTGCTTTACTTACAACTTACAGTTGGACATAGGATGTACAGGCTTTCAGCTTTCCATTACTAATCTCCTTCTGTACCCTGGAAATGGTTATTTTGTCTAGCAATCCTGCTTGAATTAGTCTTTCTTTGTGTATCTTTCCTAGATCAGCTTTTTGGTTCCCATTTGCACAAAGTGTGTGAACGTGATGGCTCTACAGTCCCATGGTTTGTGAGAATTTGCATAAACGCAGTTGAAAAACGAGGTAGGTACCTTATTACTAACACACACACAGCAATCTCTAGGAGCATTTTTAACTGAGGTTCCGACAGTGCAATCTGGACTTGAGAATGTACTGGCTGTAATGAGTTTGAAATGGGCTTTAGCCTTAGAAAGCATCATGGCCTTTGTGCCTGCAGCACCCCCTTGTGCCAGGTGTGGTTGTAAAGATCTTCCAGCAGACGAGAGGGGATGGAGAAGGGTTTAGGATGAAGCCAGAGTTCGGTTACCTCCTTCAGTCTACGGACACTGTTACTGTAAGTTAGGCAAAATGAGAATAGTCCTAAATAATTCCCAACCTCCCTAGGCTAGGGGAGATTTGGATTCAACATAGTTTCAGCTGACCTAGTGTAGTTCAGCTGGCACTCAACTATGTTGCCATTTAGGATTGTGTCATTTCTTATTTAATTACTGGGAGAGGGGGTTTCTTTTTCTTCATATACGTTTCGCCAGTCCCTGTGGCTGGCATCTTCAGAGGACAGGAGTTAGAACTCTGTGTTCTGGTGTAGTGCAGTTGAGTATTTGTAGCTGTGGGATCAGCTTTATGTCCTTTTCAGGAGATTGGGTGATTATAGTAATCATGGTGGTACAAGGTGGTACAAGGACCGCTGATCACTGCACACAAAAGACTAGCTAACTACACCCATCAATCACAGTAACAGATCATCTTCCCCATCTCATCACAACAATACACCCATAAGAAAAAAACATCCTGATCACTATAATCACGCAATCTCCTGAAAAGGACAAAAAGCTAGACATACTGAAAATATTACACTATGGCCTCTGTGATGGTACTCATGGCTGTATGCTAGGAATTAGAGCTTTTTTTCCCTCCGTTGTGGCCAGTGATGCAGTAGAATTAAGAGTTCACAGGGTCAAAACCCAATGGCTTTCTCAGTAGCAGGGACTAAGATATGGTTCACTGCCATCACCTCTGGCTTCTCCGTTTCCTTTGAGTTTAGCTGCAATCTTCATAGCAATTGGGACTGGAATGGATGTTCCCAGGAACTGTATGTTGATACAAGTTATCCCAGATTTAATGTGAAATATTTGAGAATGGGGAATTAATGGCCATTAACTTTACAAAAGAACTGTTCCTTATTTGTTAAGGGGGAGTGATCCAGCTAGCTGCATTTTTAGGTACTCCTTGCGATGGGTAGCTCTGGAAGCTTTAGTGATTAGCACCTGCACTTACAAATTTACCACTATACCATTGGCTGTGGCATTCCTAGCAGTTATCAAATGCCTTCCCTAAAGAGGTTCACTTGGCCCCCCATGGTTGGCGCCTTTTCAGTCTTAAAAACGACAATGCTGCTGTATTATTTTGATTGTTTTCAAACTCTATGAGAATTGTAGCTTTCAACTTTTGGCAAATAGTTTTTCTCTCTCTGACTCTTTTGATGTCATACTTAGATTTTGTAGGTTTTGGATGTCCTTCTCCCCCCCCCACGTAATTGTTTTTTTTTTCCTTTATTGGAAACTGGTCAGAAAACATTTTTGTTATTGAGTAGCATAAAATGCAACAAATGTCTGTATTTCCCCACTCTATCAATCTGCCAGTGCTTTGAGATTAACATCAAAACTCTGACTGGTGTGAACACATGGATGAGCAGCACAGTGGCCGGGCATGAGTTATAAGGGATGCTTAGTAGTGGTAGCCCATTTTTTGAACTCTGATCCAGTTGACACCTTTCACACCCCGTGATTTCAGACCTTTGTGTGGCTTCTGAGTGCCTATTTATCTTGGCCAATAATTCTGTTAGTACCTGTGACGTGGCTGGCCACTCTTTTGTCACTGCCAACTCAGGCCTCTCTGAATGCCTACCACGCCACTACACAATCTTGCTGCCACCAACCTTTCCTCTAAATAAAAACGACAAGGGTTTCTTTCAAAAATAAAACTGGTTTATTGATTACAAAGTAAAATAGGTAAATCACTAGAAGTTAATCACGATGTTAATCACTTTCTTATTTAATTAAACACATAGACTTTCCCTCACTGACACTCAGGCACGCAGGCCTTTTTCACTCTCACACTAGATCTCTCCCCAGATCTCACTCACTCTCTATCTCCCCCTCACACACTCTTCACCCCCCCCTTTTTATACCAGCTCCTCCCCTTCAGTTCCACCCTCCGTCACACCATTGGCTGATGGTTCACTGTCCAGCTGTGACGGACAGGTGAGGTCAAGGCTGCCTGTTACAATACCTTTATTTGCTGTCATTTTCTATGTGATGCTATCTGGTTTTAACTGTTAATTTTGCTTCCCCCTCCCCTTACTTTCATGATTTTTATCATTTATTTATCTTGATTTAAAACTTAATTTTCTCTTGGTTTTAAACATAGGTGTATAAAGCCTTGGAATGGTACATACTTAAGAGTGCCTTAAGCATCTTTTAAATACTGAGAAATAAAGACAAAGGAAAATTAAAGTAAGCCAGTTAAAACAACAATATAACTATGGCAGTGGTATGTTAGAAGACGTAGAGGTGTACATTCTTGCTAACTCTGTAGAGCAGTTGATCTGCAAAATTATTGCAAGGTTCTGTTTTGATTTGTGAGCTGCTTCCTTCCTTTTACTTACTGTAACCTTAAACCACCATATGGCTTTAGCTAGTGGAGATGTAAATAATAACTAATCTCAGTGGCATGTGATAAAACTCTCATTTTATCACTGTATTTATGATTTTGTACTTGGTATACAATTTTCTATTATGGGCTTGGATTATGATTCCTTTGCACTTACTTCTATTCTGTTTACTCAATGTGTTGTTTTCACTAAATTCTGGCATCAGCCATCGCAGGACAGCAGTAATTTATGTGGAGCTAAATCCAATGTTTATGAAAGCTTCTGATGACATTTTAGACTGGGGTTGGTATTAGGAAGCAGCATGTGGAGGTGCCAAGTCTCCCGGCATGGCTGGGACTCAACAGATTTGAAGCCCTCCTCCTAATGGCCAGATATGCCTCCAGCCAAGTTATTCAACTGCAGAGTCATGGGAAATACTTATGTACCAATTATGGAAAAGGCACATTTAATGAAAACTGTATGTTTACTTCCATAGTCTTAGTAAGACGGCCTAAATACTCATTGCAGCTGGCATATTGGCTGAGGCAGGGGAAGCTGTATGCCTCTCTGCCCTTATCTACATAACTGTACCCTTACACAGAAAATTTACTGTCCTTCATTTACAATGAAGTTTGGTGAGGTGTTTTTTTTTTCTTTTTCAGAACAGAAGAAGCAGATCCTGTAATATTTTTCTAGGCAATAGTACAGGGATTTTTCTGTGTACTTGTTTGTTTATTTGTTTGGTTTGGTTTATCATCTGAACGGGGTCAGTCTGCTATTGCTCCATGTAATTACTTGTTACACTCAGTGGCCCGTCAGAGCGTAGCTCACATTTGCAAATGTTCTCACATACGCAGGTAATAGAAAGCTTTAGGCATAACATTTAATGGCACGGAGTCAGTTGTAATTCAAATAATTTGGCTGAACTCATTTGTGGCTCTGGCTTGTCCATGTTTACTGGGCCATATCATTATCTAGTCTACTGTGACCTACTCTGCAATCTACTAGAACTTACTGTCTGTTACATAAGACAAGTGTAAATTAAGAGTATAGAGTGAATCGGCTGCCCATTGTGACTGTGAATTATTCGTACGCTGCTACACTCTGTTAGTGTACTCTATGTAACAACTGTGGGCAGAAGGATAATCAAATAAAAGGAAAGATGGAGAGACTTAAAATGTATCAGCCTGTAATTTCAAACCACTCAACAATATTCACTGTCATAATTTGGTCTTTGTTGAAATTTGAATAGCTTCAATAATATGGCTGGCTCTTCAAAATATTATTAGATATGTGGAATAGGTTATAAAGAGATTTAATACTAATAATACTAATGCCAATGCTAATAATACATTTTTAATGATTATGATGATGATGCAGTGGAAATGGAGAATATTTTGAAAACAACAGAAACAAAGGCTCAATATAAGAAACAACAACCTGAAAATAAATCAAACAGATGGGGGAAAAACCACTACATGGACAACTCCTGGGAAATATTGATGGAAAGCATGATCATACTAATTCATCATGGACATGGCTAAAACTCTTGTTGAAAGGAAGTCTTGATAGTAAGTAAATCAATACCTGGGGATCCTAATGTCAAAGAGAAGAAATGTGAAAAGATTGCCATATACAAAGATTTAAAAATTAAGATCAAGTATGGTAGAAGAAAACTAAAATTGATCTGTTTGGAATTAGTGTAATATCAAAACACCTAGAAAGGCATCTTCGTAATCTAGATGTAAATGAGATAATGATAAATCAACTGCAGAAGACGTTCTTATTTGGAACAGCACATACTAAAAAAGTTCGTAAATATCCTAGGTCCATGGGTATGACCTGATATTAAAGGAACTAAATTCAGCTGTGTATAACAATGATGATGTCTAAAATTAGTGATTTTGAAAATATGTCATTTCTCTGTCTCACACACACATACAAGTCAGATTTTTAGGAACTGATTCTTAATTGTTAGGCTTGACCATTTGGTCTATCCCCAATCAATAACCATACTGAGAAATTTGAGTTGTTGTTAGATTGGACCCTCGGGTCTGCCCCTTGCACCAGCAATGCAAGAAGTGTAACAACAACAAAAATGGTGTATTCTAGTCATTTCTTGTTATTGGATCACCAGTATTGTTACATGGAGCCATCGTTGTGTCTCCACTTGGAGTGTTTCACTCATAAAACAAATGAGTCTTAATTGCTCACTTAAGATCAGATCATCCTGAAATACTGTGTGTTGTAACGGATAACTCACAGTATCTTGTTCCTGGGAAAAATCTACCCCCGCACAAGCTATTCTAAAGATTCATGCTAAGCTCAGAGGGAAGCTGGGGGAGGCAGATGATATTATTCCTTTGTAATCAAAAGTCTTGGCACTTAGACCATATGAGTGCATACAGTTTTC